TACCAACAATGCAACCAAAGGCATAGGATGTATACAGATGCTGCTGGATCAGCTCAGATAAAATAACCGCTCTCCACTAGGCTCACTGTCTCCCTGCTTACTTTTTTATAAATGTTGTGTGCTCAGAATGGCTCGAGTGAGAAGAGAGAGGTTCGACAGTTCCAGTTCATGGCCTGGCCTGACCACGGAGTGCCTGAGTACCCCACCCCAACGCTAGCCTTTCTACGCAGAGTCAAGGCCTGTAATCCTCCAGACACTGGACCAATGGTGGTCCACTGCAGGTAAACTACCTCTTATATTGCAAAGTGAGTTACCCAGTATAACACAACTTACCCATTGACAACTGAACTGTCATGAAAAATGGATACAGTTTAATAACCTAAAAGAGACACAGATGGAAAATGTAGCAACTTGCTCTGACCGGTCTTGACACTATTGCAGTGCCAGTCAACAGACACAATGCTTTACAAAGTAACACATTAATGTAATCGCATTACCTTCTGTCCTAAATTCAGTAATCACAAGTTCTTCAATTATCTGCATAATAGGACAATCAAACGTGTCTTTTTAAACACATTTGAGCAACAATCTGTGGAGTGACTTCTTTGCTTTCAATGAGGAAGATACAGCTTCCTTCAACCACGACACTGAAGTCTGAATTTGAAGTCGGGGTCAGAGATGGAGATCTGGAACCGTTCCCCTACAATATCCATGAAATTTAACACAGAGTCATGTCTGGAGCGCCCGTGGAGAGGTTCTTTAGCCAGGGAGGTGTTGTGCTGACTCCGAAGAGGAATTTCACAATCAATTTGAGAGACTCATGCTCATGAGATACAACCCTGCGTTAATGATAGACACGGTTCCTATAAGATCGGTATCTACCAGACTGAATCACAATGCATTGGTGCCCCATTTTGCTTGTCGCTAGTTAACATTACAGCTGTTCTGTCTCTACATGGATCCAACACTTGAAAGGACTCCAGTACCTTGCGGGAGGTGCAACAAATGTTTAAAACAGATGTGTGTAAAGGGGTGAAGCATCTGGTGTTTTAATGTTGTTAACCATCTTCTTTTTTTTAAGTCAGTTCAGGTAGTGTTTAGGCACCAGTACAGCTTTAATACAGATAGTTATTACAATATCATGTTAGCACCGGTATCAGGGAAAAAAACAAAACAATACCCAACCCTAGGAGTAACAGAAAGGAATGTAATGAGTAGTGTACCAAATTACTTTCTACAGGGAGGTATTCGGTAAATTAATGCATTACTTTTTTTAAAGTAGCAAGTAATGTTAATACATTTGTTTTTTTTAGCACTGCTAGTGAGTAAGCCTATAGTGATAAATCAGAGAGACAGTGGGAGCAGCCAGGAGGAGGCTTTCACCCCACCTTCCAGTGTGGACATTAATTTGTCTTGAGACATGGTCAGATGATATGTACCTGGTTCATTTGAAGCATACTGAGGCCTTAGAGGTACCAAAGGAAAGATAATATTTACTTTACCTACAATTATGTAGAGATACTCATACTTTGCTTAAACTGTTTATAATTGTTTTATGGCAAACAAAAACAAAATATCACCCAGAAACCTTTGAGTGTCATTTGTGCATTGCACACAGCAACCAGCCCTGCTGGTATGTCAAGTTTTATAGCAAACACATCAAAGGAACAAGAGAGGCAAAGATCTAAAAAGTACAGTCCAGTTTTCTCTAGACAGAGTGCTCCCTCCCTGCTGTTTAAGAGACCTTACCATCACTTCCTATGTGGAGAAGTCGGATCATGTCGCAAAGTGTCTGGCATGGTAAAAATGTTCTTTGTTGAAACCAAGTTAGATAAATTTGACTATGTATAAGCACAGTAGACAAATACATGATCTGATCCGATGTGCACTAGGATACAGACATTAGCTGTTTCTAGCTAGCAATGTACACAACAATGTTTTGTGTCCACTTGCTTCACTGCATTGATATTTTGATTTATATACAATCCCTGTCTAAAGTTTTCCCTACACTCAGTCTAAACACACAAAGTCAGCAAACTGACTTTATGTATTATAACTGTAATACTTACTGTACAGTAATATCTAAATCTTGAATCACACTGTGATATTGGGCTAATAAAATGACACTATCTGTCTAAAGTTTACTAACATTAGCCAACAGAAGCTACTAGTTGTACAAGACGAAGAGAAAAGTAAGGCCGTAGCAGCATTTATATACTGAACAAGTGTTTTTATGTTTTTAATTCTATGAATTCAGCTTTTCATTTGTAAGAAGACTGTGGTATGTTTGCTTTAACTAATTCCCAAGATTTCAATTCAATGCATTTTGTTGTGTCATACAGAATGCCAGGGGTCGTTGAAAGGTTTGATGAGAATGAAAATTATATTAATCAATAGACTTTTTTCACAGCAGCCATTTTGACAAACAGTAGGGTAAACACAGGTGTTGTTACACAATGATACTGATTAAGGTTCAGTTACATTCTGGCCAAATAGAGTCCTGCTATTGTGCATGTTAGCTCACTGCAAAGGCTCTGTTACACTGAGCAGCTGTCCTGGAAAAGTCACATAAACAAAATATCTACAAAAATGGGAAGAGGGGTATCCGTTATCAGAAGATGATCCCAATTTCTCAGTCCAAGTTGCACCCTGCAGGTAATACAAGACACTATTGATTACTGCTCAGTTATCTGGTCAAGAAAATCTTCAGTTAGTGCAGAACAGAGCGGCACAATCAGCACTTCACCGCTCAGTAAGTGTAAATGTAGATAAAATGCATGCTGATCTCACATGGCTCAAAGTTGAGGACAGGTTCAGATGTACTTCATTAACTTTGTTAAGGAATATAGTAGCTTTGAAACAAAATATTGTTCTTCTGAAAATACACACAGTAATTAAACAAGGCAAATGAGGAGGAGTCCAATTACGCTATGCCCAACCAAACACTAATGAATATCTAACTGGAACTGTTTGTTGTACTTTTACTTTATTTATGTTCTTTACATGTCAATTGATGGAATTGTTCTTAATGTTTTAATGTTTTGTATATGTTTGGTTTGATGTAACTGTATTGTTTACTATATGTATTTTACTTGAATATGGACCCCAGAAATATTAGTTATTGCCAAGGCAACAACAAATCCTAATAAACAATAACAATGTTTCCTCTTTGTGCTCTATCAGTGCTGGTGTGGGCCGGACTGGCTGCTTCATTGTGATCGAAGCCATGCTGGAGAGGATGAAACACGAGAAGTCAGTAGACATTTACGGTCATGTGACGTGCATGCGAGCTCAGAGGAACTACATGGTGCAGACGGAAGATCAGTATGTGTTCATCCACGAGGCGCTGCTGGAAGCTGCAATGTGTGGCAACACAGAAGTCCCCGCCCGAAACCTGTACGCCCACATTCAGAAGCTCACCCAGATCCCTCTTGGAGAGACTGTCACCGCCATGGAACTGGAGTTTAAGGTTTGTTTTTGGTTGTTTGTTTTCAGTTGAATGGGGAGTTTGTACAGCCTAGCAGTCTTGTCAAAGTAGCACTCCAATCACATACCGGGTCTGTGTTTGTTTAGCTGGACTGACTTAGCGATGCAGCGAGGTATTATGAAATCAAATGGCTGTTGTTAAAAATTGCGTTGTAAATTAAAACCTGATATTGTAAAAGCATAATCAATTTTGACCGTGACCAAATTTTCCCTCTTTTGTTAAAGGTACCGCATACGACTTTCAGTCTAGATGTCACACTAGAGCACCACCCTCTCAGACCAAAACAAATGAGCACTGTGACACACCAGACTCAACAGAAAAAAAAATAAAACTCACCAAAACGGTCTTTCACTGTTCCAAAAACAATCACCAACTTTAAACATTGGTGTTTAAAGTTACATGTGGAAAATGGGCTGCAATGTAACATAAGCTAATCCTTGAGGACAAATACGCCTATCTACTAAAAGTTATTTTTGCCATTGACAGGCTCAGATTGTTCTTTTAAGTGTCTGACGACGTTATGGAAAGGATCACTATGGAGATTGAGCTTTTGTTTAACCAGAACCAGCCATAATATTGCTATTGATCGCCACCAGAATCCATAGACAAAATTAATTTAGCCTTGCCGATAACAAAAAACACACTTGATTCAAACTCACCAGAAACAAAATAAAACTTAGCACAACTTATGAAAACCTAAAAACGCCTGTGTTTGAACCTGAAAATCACCTGTTTTACAGTTCCTCCCTCTCAAAACGATCCATCAACTCTTGCTAACCTGTTCCTGGTAGCCTGGCTGGCATTAGCACTGTTGAATTTAATTTAAAGAGCCTTTTTTTATAGCAGACATTTTGATTAATATGTCTTACCAGGAAAGGCACAGGTGGTACTAATAACATTAATGATGCTCCATTGCAGCAGTTAATGCAATGCAACGCAGCAATTGATCGTTCATGTTATTAATTACACTTGTGTTTGACAAGTCAAGAAAAGTATAATGCAGGTATACTGCAGCTACTTGCGCCAGTGGTGGCCAGAGACATTATGTTTTTGGGTTGTCCATCTGTCTGTCCCTCCTGTTCTTTTAAACGTGATATCTCAGGAGCGTCTTGAGGGAATCTTCAAATTTGGCACAAACATCCAATTTGACTCAAGGATGAACTGATTAGAATTTGGTGGCCATAGCTCAAGAATCAATGACCATATTTCATAACTGGTCACCTAAAACCAGATTTTAGCCATAATGTAAAAATGAACTGGCTGATTCCAGATTTCACACACACCATACACCACAGTACAGGCTTTCATCTTTCCATCTCCACTTCCACTTCCTCCTAATTCTAAAAAATTCAGGAGAAACCAAAAGCAATACATTTAGTATAGCTAGCTCTACATAGTAATCAAGTACATGTGTAATGTATATTCACTGATAATGATAATTTCCATTTTTCACAACATATACGAGACTGGACAGACATGGATTTAAACTGCAACTTGACTGGTTGGTGGCTGTAATGTGTCTCACAAGTCAACTACATGGAAGTGCAATACTGAATGGCTGAAGTGCCCCTTTAACTACATGATGCAGTGGGAGCTAGGGAAGAGGAAGGATTTTCATCTTCAGCCTGTGTAAAAGAGATGAACTCCTTCTTAGAGGAGGAGCTGTGACAGCCTAACTTTTGAGCTTCAGATGACAGGCTGAAGGAGACGGAGAGTGAAGGAGTGCTGGGACAAACTGGATGTCTGACAGCCTGAAGATAAGGTCCTACTGGGTTAGGTGGTTTTACATGGGATGAACTGCAGCACCACCCCGTCCTCCACTGCTCAGCGATATCACAGTGATTTAACCAGCCCCATCTTTGGGGGGCACGACACAACTGCTGCTTGTTCATGGAAGCAGGATGGCTGTAAATCCTGACAGAGCATAATTAGGTTTTGATCCCCAACTCATTGCAAATTTCTTTCACAAACACTTCTCAAATTGACAGAGAAGGACAATAGGGCCCATCAGCAAAGCAAGCCCCCCCCCC